AATGAATTGCATAGCGTCTGTATTTTGCCTCTAGTCTGCTAGTGCTACATAATCAAGGTGGAGTAATAAACACAAGTGGCATCGTGAGCAGTCACTCTCAGGCATCTGAGGATTTGTTTCATATGACTCTTCTGTTATACTTTTCTCTCCTATTCCCTTGATTTTCCTTTCTTGTATTATCTCTTCCTGCTTTCTTTCTTTTTTGTCCTCACCTATCTTCTCTTCTTTACCTTTCTTGATACCTTTTTCTGTATTCATCCTCCTAAATCCATGAAATTCAGGTGCTCACAAGCCCTGCTCTTGCTACCTTTTCTGCCATTGAACAGATACTCCCTTGCAAGATATTTCTTGTTTCTTCCCAAGGAATTATTCGAATTCAGTGATCATGAAGATTTGTATGTTCAGTGTATAAAAATTAAAGAAAATGAACACTGAAGAGAAAGGAGAGCTCTGGAGTGGAAATACTATCCTGCTTCATGGACAGAGTATGTAGAAGTGCACCCAGTCTAGTGGTTCATTTTCATCTTTTGACCCCTTTCACTTTTGATATGGGTACTATGGGGATGATTTGGGTATTTAATTGCTGCCATAAACAAAGAATTCTGCCTGTATGAAAGTGCAGAGAAACAGTTTTATCATTCCTCTGCTAAATATGTCTAGCCTGGAAGTGACAAGTAGCTAGATTTTCCTCCTCACTGAAACACACGTGGATGTTAGGATTGATGATATGAATATTTCCAGACTTGCCATTGTTCACAACTGGAGTTGGCATGGAACAAGGGCATGTACTTCCATTTTTTTTTTGTGTGAACCACAATTTAGAAGGAGGATTTTATTAGTAATAGCTGCAGGGCAGATTATGCCAAAGTGATGACTGGTTTCTGTCAGATTATTACTAATGCTTCTCTTTCAGTGACTTTGAATTGGTACAGAAATGGCCAGTCTATTGCAAGATACTTTATACCTATGATCTGTTAATGATGGTATCTTCCAGTTCATTTCCAGGTGCAGGGTAGGATGCTATTTTAAAATGATAAAGCCTTTATCAGTTTAAGTGATGGTTACCTGAAATGTCATTTTCTACTACCTCTGTCTGTATGCTTGAATGACCTGAGGTGTTCAGGTAGGAAGTCCTATAACCACTTCTGGGCCAGCTAAAAGAGACATTCTTCATAACATGTCCTCAATAGGAGGGCATTCTTCCTCTTTGAGATCATTATTATTTTCCCTTACTTTTGCTGCAGAGCTCATTTGCCATCTCACAACTTTTTTACTCAACAAGATAAAGTTATAGATGATGAGAAGAACTTGGGCTTAGGAAGGATTGTTTGTCATCTTTTAAGGCCCAGTTTTGAAAGATATTGCTCTAAAATCTTTGTTTTGTTCTGAAAAGTAAGGAGTGTACCCTGCCATTAAATATCCTAAAAGACAAGGTTTATTTTCTTCTTTTTGAGGACTCTGTTTCCATTTCTTTATATCCCTCAATGTGCAGATAACACCTGTGGTAGAGAGTTATAAGCAGAATGTAATAGATCATCATTGACAATGACTTCTTTTTCAATAACACTGTCTTAGAAATGTCTTCAATCCTGAACAGCATTGACATTGCCCGATATGTGTGTGTAGGAATGAAAAAGGCAGCACAAAACTGATATATTGACATATTTACCTAGATATGAAGAACTAGAACATTTCATTTGAAACCTGGAAGAATAACTTTCATGTCATCAGCAGTGTTCATCAACACTTAAACCTGCAATAAAGACAACACTACTAAATGCATGTGTCTGAATCCTCAGCTGGTTAAACTGTGATGGTGCCAGTGAGTTTAGCAGTGCTCAGTCAGTATGTGCCTGAAGGGTCTGGGAATCCAAGAGCAAACTGATTCTATTGATCATGGGAAATTCTCTCTAATCAATGCCTATTTGGTTGCATGAAAGAAAACAAAACAGAGTCCTGAAATGTGCTGAGTAAATTTACAATGCTGCTTAGTATTTCACCTATGTCTGATATCATCTCCAAGAAAGAACAGAAAACAACTTTCAGCTTCAATTCTGCTTACTGTAGAGCATGAGCAAACAGAGTCCGACCATTTCACTTAATATGCAAATATTTCTTTTAAAAAAATCTTGTTGCACAAAGTAATATGTTTCAAGGTATTATTCAGTACAATGCTCAAAAGCTTGTTTGGATAGTTATTCAAGTAAACACTGAAGTATTGAGAATCAAAGGAAATATGGACTAGAGCTACATGGCATTATTTAAATAGCTCAGAGGGGGGGTATTTAAAAGAGAGTGAGTCACTGTGAATTTTAAAGAAACATGCTATTTAAGTCACCAGTGCATAGAGGGGCCCCTATCATTAGCATTTTGCTTCTAGACACTAATTTATAGCACAGTGTAGTATTGCATCAAATCATTGTCGAACAGATAATGCCAATGCTCCATTCAGAGCTTTCACATCAGCTGCAAAATGACAGATAACAAGACTGCTTTTGCCTAAATAAAGCAATGCATCTGTTAGAGTCCTAAATGACTTTTTGCATGGGGTGTTCTTCAATTAAGAAAACTCAGGCAAGCTGTGGATATGTGTTGGAATGAATCTTCACATACTGAAATATGTAGAAGGAGAGAGTAAAACTATTCATTACCTATTGAAATGAAAACCATTTCATGTAGGCTATTGTGATTCAGCAGTGCTCACCAAAATATATTCTACCCTCATTTAAAAGTAGGGCTGACAAACCAGACATTATCAGAAGCAACTCCACAATGAAGAATGCTGAACACTACATAGCTGGAGTCAAAGCCACACAACCTGTGTAGAAAGGCATCTGGACCTTCTGCTTCCGGTTATCTTACCAGTTAATTTCATAGGGACTAGGAAGGCCATAAATAAATTGAGAAATCTTACCTTAAGGTCCCAGGAACTATTATCACATATGTTATGCAGCCCTTTTGCAAGAGTCCAAAATACAGGGCTAATTTATCCTCTCCTCATTCTCAAATAATTCTGTATCCCAGGTAAGGTAAGGACTGTATATTTCTGCCACAGGAGCTGCTACTATGATATTTCTAGCCAGGACTGCACACCAAAAGGTCTGTCATGCTACCTTGGCCTCAGGGATAGAGCAGATGTTCCAAAGTTACTCTTAACCTTTCTGATATCTTAGCCCTGGTTTTCACACAGTAATTTAACTGTAGGTGTTTATCTCTTCTGGAACATGTCTTTAAATGGCCCAAACCACAGCTGGTCCATTTTCCAAGCTTACATATACCCTTTAAACACATGCATCTCCCTCCACATACCCATAGAAAAGCAAGTTTGCTTTCCTTTAAAGCAGGTAATAAACTGTTCTGAGTGCCCAGCAAGGTGTTAAAAACAGCCCTAAACAGTGTCTCTCTCACACATATGTACAAAGCAAGTCTTAAAAATCCTACCAATATTTTTCTCTCTCCCCTTTAAATTGCTCCCAAATCTTGACAGTGCAGCCAATGCTCCTCTTCTCCAATCCTGCCACTGTTGGTTGCAGACCCCACAGTGGTTCCTTCCCTCAGCTGCTTCTTCTGGAGGTCCCCAACCTACCTTCAAGGTTCCTCAGTTGCTTCAGCAGCAAATTCCACACTGTTCCAGCCTGTAACATGTTATAGGAAAATCAAGAGGAACCTGGCATCCTTCGATACATCAAGCTGTGACCTGGACACAAACAGCAGAGCTGTTCAGGCAGTGAGGTGGGAACCTCTGAAAGAAGAGTGAGGTCAGAAAACACCATTGTGATCCCAAGGTAACGCTATCTGCTTGGAGATTAAAGGCTTAGTTCATATGCATCCCCCTTTATTTTTGCAGTGACAGTGAGAGGCAGAAAAAAGGAATTAGGCAGATAAACCGTTTTTGAACTGCCAGTTGGCCATTCTCCCTGTGATGATGTAGGACTCATTTAGGTTTCTTCTACCATGTTCTCAAAAGACAGAAGCTGGTAGGTGCTGAGTACAAGCCAAAAGCACTCTCCTGAAACAAGACAAGACAGAATATCATCTTCTAAATGAGTTAGGATTGATGAAAGTAACAATTCATTTAAGTAAAAGGACTGAACAGTACTTTCAGTCTGTTACCCATGCAGGTACATATGATCACTTAACAGGAAAGAATCATCACCAGCAAAGTCAGATAATGTTAGCTGTATTCAAGATACATCAGATGTTTGTGGTATTGTGCATAATTCCTCCATACAGATGTGAACAGCACAATAATAGACAACAGAAAAAAGATGTACATTGATTTCTGCACCTTATCATAAACACTTATCCACAGCAACTCACAAATCTCACTGAGATTAAAGCTTAATAGCTCTGTGTGGAAGTGATGCTTTATTCCAACTGGATTTACTACATGATGCAATATTTCCTAAATAATTAAACATAAACTGTGGCTGTGAAAGCAAATGAATTACTCATTTGTTTTTTAATGTGTTATCTTGTCCTCTTAAGAAGTTTGTCTACCACTGTGTGATTGCAGAACTGGGCATTGCTCTGTATACATCTGCAGAAGTGATAGGACTGACAGCTTTCATTCAGGAGTGGGGATCTCTTGCTCTAGTGAACCAACACTCACCCTCAGGTGAACCACAGAATTGTT